ACATTATTTTTCTGTACAAAGACACATAATTTATAAAAGGCTGAAATACCATTATCATATAAATGCTACCAGCACAAAAAGTTGACTCATAGCCAGCCCACCCATGTTGCCCAGTCAGATTATTGGCTATTACTTGGTTCTCATAAGTCAATACAGGAAAATTCTATTCTAAAACTTAAGCAGGTTCAGGATTTGATACTGAACAATTAAATTGGCGACCAGACAACTGAAAAGTAAATAATAACAGTAAACCAACAGCACAAAAAAGTATCTGTATATTGAATTTACAAAATGATATGCCCAGTCTATTAATTTCTCATAATAATAAACTGATGTGGACAGGTATCAGAAATTTCCATTGTTTTTTTTTATTGGTTTGAATAACTAAGTGAGATTTCCATCAATTCCAAACAAATATGAAACCAACTGTAAATATTTATATATTGATTAGCTATAAAAACCAAAGGTTGTGATATTTACTATACCATAAAGTGCTTTCAACATGTCCAAATCAGGCGAACATATTCAAACGAGCTGACACATTTGCCTGCACACATGCTATATTAGGAGGAACTGACCACAATGTAACAAAAATATGTCTTTATCAGAAGAAACATATTCCAAGCAATCATTAACAAACTGACAGGTTTGCCTGCACATTTGCCTGTACACATGCTATATAAGGAGAGACTGACCAAATTATTTTTCCAAATAAATGATGGCTTTTAACCTTCCCCATTATTCTTTTGTAACACACATGCTGATTGGTTTGAACTTGGGGTTGCCAAGCCAACAAGTTGTCTCATTGGACTGAGCAGTCTTAGGGTAATGCAGACATGCCTTACTCAAAATCACTGGCATTGCATAGCCTTTAGTTACTTTTGCAAGTCTTCGAAGGGTTAATGTGGTCTTTAAAACAAACTTGATTTCGTGGCTAAGTGGTCAACATGACCAACTTGTAATCTAAGGATTGCTTGCAGCCCGGGGTTGAAACCCCTCTCAGGGGAAAGCAGTTGTTTTCTTGAGAACCTAACTTTATACTTCATGCACAGTTGGTTCCAGGAACAGATTTGACAGTGTGTTTATAAGCCTAAAGAAATCCGGTCTAGATTGACTGCACAGATTGACAGACTGGCCCGACTTCATGCAAATGGCAAAAGGAGAGTCATTTTCATCTCAAAAAGTACTACCCATAATGCAACATAGTATAAGGCTGGAAATGTCATGAAAATAACTGACTTTAATTTCAATTAAGTTAAAATACTCAGTCTTTAGATGATACTGTATTATGAAAGCATGTTTCATTTCAGCAGACGTAACATGACATGCTGTCTAAATAACATAGACTACATTCATTAACTCTAGAGCTTTGACTTAAAACATCTAAAGCTTTCATGTGACAGTAAGAGTGTTATAAAAAACACTTGATGAGAACTTGATAACATTTGAAAGCTCCCATGGAACTTCTGCTTTAGAAAATCAATAGAAAACACAACAAAATATGCCATAATTACTTTACTTGTGCTACAAAGAAAATAACATATCCGTGCAAAATAATTTTACTTAATATTGTGATATCCTTGGCCCTGATATTAATCAACATTAATTCATAAATCTGAAATTTAAACTCTTTACTTGGAATAGATATGATACCAACCCTTACACTGATTAAGAGTAATGGACTTGTCCTTTATTGGTAATGGTATTGTATTGGTATTGAAATTGGGATTTTCCATTTTGTGAGATGGAGAAATCTCTGCAAGAAAAAGCTGAAGCTTCAAGGGGAGCGGTGGCCTAGTGGTTTTATGTGTCTGCCACCCAATCCAGAAATCATGGGTTCGAGCCCTAATCGAGTCATGACAATGTTTTTTTTCATATTGACACCAGAACTAGTTGGTTCCAGGAAGTGAACTCGAAAGTGATCAATACAAGTTGCAAGAACTTGTTTTGCAACTGATCTTAAATAGATATGTTTAAACAAAAAGCTTATAATTAAATCAGATATATAATATACCAGTTTTTGATTAAATGATCAAAGAAATCTCATAAACTTGGTACTATCATGTCAGTCAGCTTAAGCATTCCATCTAATCATTTTTGGTGTTATCATTGCATGCATACAGATCTACTCAGTACAGATGAAGCAAGTACATGTCACTTACTGAAACACAGACAATTTATTACAATACTTGCAAAATCCTGCAACATTTCTCTAATTTGACAAACTTAATAGCTGTAAGAAAATCAAATTTGCACAGTTTTACGAGTAGAAATTGTATTTTCTTCATTTCTTCATTGCAGTTCAGAAAACAGTTTATTATTTTTCATCAAGCCTTCGGCTTCACATGTACAAAATAGCATTTCATTTTGAATTTATGGTTTAAGTCGCGTATTCAAAGGTTTAAATATCACGGACATGCGCATGACTACCGGAAGTAATAACCGGAAGCATGAAACACATGTTTTCACTTTTTGTTTTGGCGTTGTGGTTGTCGCGTGTTCTTAAAAGTTTAAGTTACTTTAAAACTTATTTTACGTTTAACCGCATTACTATGGCCCAAGAGGCTCTTCTCGATAGGATAGACCTTCATGCTTTGGGTGAGGAGGGAGATTTTTCTGGGTTTTCGGACCAAGAAATTACCGGTAAGAAAGAGAAAAAGTCTTCGGACAAAAAACAGTTAAAATCCGTCGTGGTGGAGACGACGGATAAAGAAAATAAACCCCCTCGTGGTAAAGGCAAAAAACAGTCAGGTAAAACTTTGAATACTATTTCTTCGGAAATATCGGACAGAAATTTATCCTCGGATAAATTTGATTTGAAAAACTTATCTAATAAGGATATTGAAGGTCTTAGGACTCTTCTTGGTATACAGCCTGTTGTTCAACAGAATCCTCAGTTTCTCCATGATTGTGATAACTATGACTATAATGAGAATAATTATGATTATATGGATGATGAATCTGTGAATGATAACTATTCTGCTGTTCCTGCAGCATTAAAACCTAACCTTAGGGTGGAGGTTGCTGCCCAAGATGTTGATATTGAAGATACAGGGATTCGTAATCTGTCAAAAGATTTTTCTTCGGCTTTTGACGATGGTTGCACTGATAATAGACTTGAGTCGGATAGTGATACATGGGATCTTCCCAAATTAAAGATACCAGAAAAAGGTGAGCCAGTGAATGAGTCCTTGGCCAATTTAATTAACACGGCATTTACTGCCCAGTGTGACTTAGACTCTATTTTGAATAAGTACCAAGTACCTAAGAATTGTGATAGAGCCATTCCGCCCATTGTTAACCAGGAAATATGGAAAACATTAGACAAAAGAGCCCATTTTCAAGATAAGTTTATGGTGGACATACAAAATCTTGTGGTTTCGGGCCTAGGTCCAGTTGTTAAGTTGCTTGAGTTTGTGAAAAAGAACAATCTTATGAAAAATGAGGCAAAATGTATCTTCTCTGACCTGTTTACTGTTCTGGGTCAGGTGCAATACAACCTCAGTTTGAGGAGGAGATATCTTATAAGACCGTATTTGAAGAAGAAGTATTCTTCATTGTGTAGTATTTCGATGCCTATAACAACCAAACTTTTTGGTGACGATGTTTCAAAAGAAGTCAAAAGTTGTGATGCTTTATCGTACATTGGTAAGGATTATACTTACAGCAATTATAGAGGTGTTCAGCGTAGACGCTCTGGTCGAGGATTTGTTAACTCAAATTTTAGTAATTACGGCTACCAGTCATCTACATACAATCAGCCTTCTGGTTTTAGGACTAGACCGTATCCGTTACGTGGACAATCTTTCAAGATTGGTCTAGGCGGACGAGGAAGAGGTATGAGAAGAAGTGCCTTGGCTTCTGCTACAGCCAGTGCCCCAAACGATCAGGAATAAATGAAAGGGTAAGTCAAGTTGGACGTACACAGTATTTTTTAAGTGTATGGAAAAAATTTACCTCAGATCCTTGGATCTTGATTGCAGTTTCGGGGTATAAGATAGATTTTAATGAAAATCCTTTTCAAAGAAGCATTCCTAATGAAATTCCTTTTTGTTCAGATCAAAAAACAATTGTTCATAATGAAATTCAAGATTTGTTTGAAAAAAGGAGCAATTATTAAATCAGAATCAGAGATTGATCAATTTATTTCAACAATATTTATTGTTCCTAAACCTAATAATAAATTTCGACCAGTTATAAACTTGAGATTTTTAAATGAGTTCGTACAATATAGTCATTTTAAACAGGAAACATTTTCTATTGTTTTTGGATTTGATTAAACAAAATGATTTTATGACAAAAGTTGATTTATCTGATGCATATTTCTCTATTCCTATACATCCTTCACACTGGAAATATTTGAAGTTTTCATTCAATTCTATTTTATACTCATTTGTATGTTTACCATTTGGTTTGAAAATAGCCCCATATTTGTTTACTAAAGTATTACGTCCCATTTTTGCTTGGTTTAGACAGCAAGATATACGCTGTTCTTATTATATTGATGATTCTATCAATTTCAATGAGTTGTCACATGTGTGTTTGAATAATACGGTTACTATTACAAAGACATTACAGAGTTTAGGATTTACTATAAATGAGAAAAAGTCTGTGCTAATCCCTTGTCAGAGAATTATTTTCTTTGGTCATATTATTGATACAGTTCAGTTCAAGGTATTTTTGACTGATGAAAAAGTACAGAAAATTATGTCGAAAGCATCCTATTTATTGCAACATGAGGTTGTTTTGGTCAGACAGTTGGCATCTTTTATAGGTGTGATAGTTCTTTTTATGCAATTTTAGAAGGGCCACTACATTATAGAGCCCTTGAAAGAAACAAGTTGATAGGTTTAGGTCAAAATATGAATTTTGATAATAAAGTTAGTTTGTCTACAAAAAGTATTCAAGAAATTCAATGGTGGTTACAAAACGTGAAGAATAAAAATGGTAAAAGAATCAGGCCTATTTCTGTATCCAGAAGGTGTTTTACAGATGTGTCGATGGAAGGTTATGGTGGAATAGACCTGATTTCTGGCTTGCACACACAAGGCAGATGGAAAAATCAGGAATGTGGTTATCATATTAATTATTTGGAACTCCTTGCAGTTTTTTACTGCATGCAAGCATTTTACAATGAATTTTGTGATATTCATATTGAGATTCATTCAGATTCTGTTTCAGTGGTAACTTACATAAATAATTTTGGTGGTATGAATTCTTTGGAATTAGATGACCTTTCAAAATGTTTATGGGAATGGTGTTTAAGTAGAAATATATATATTTCTGCTGTACATGTCCCTGGTAAATTAAATAAAAGTGCTGATTATTATTCTAGAAATTTTTCAGATTCCACTGAATGGACATTGAAAAAAGATATTTTTGAAAGATTATGTAGACACACATTTATGCCTAACATAGACCTTTTTGCTTCTAGACTTAATAATCACTTACCTAAATTTGTTTCATGGTTTCCCGAACCAGGGGCTTACGCAGTTAATGCTTTTTCATTATCATGGAAGGATATGATACCATACATCTTTCCTCCATTTAATTTAATTGGGAAAGTACTAAATAAAATTGTTATTGATGAGGTTGATAGAGCTCTAATGGTTGTTCCTTTTTGGTTCACACAACCTTGGTTCCCTATTATACTTGAAAACCTTTGTGATTTTCCTATCAGGTTACCCAGACACAGAGATCTTCTAGTTTTGCCGCACAATGGAACATTACACCCATTAGGAAGAAAATCAAAAATGATTGGAGTGGTGTTATCAGGGAAAGCCTGCAGAGTAAGGGAATTTCATCAAATGTTGCAGATTTCATCGCAGAATCTTGGTCACAGGGCACAAGAAAACAGAATAGCAGTGCCTGGAAAAGATGGTATATGTGGAATTCTATTAGATGTTCCAGTCCAATTTGTTCGTCTGAAGGTGTAGTCGTGAGTTACCTGTATTTTTTATTTCAATCTGGTATGTCTTATTCGGTTATAAATCTTCATAAAGCGATGTTAATGCAAACATTGTCCTTATTGGGAAATACATGGTGTAGTGACAACAAAATGATTGTAAGATTCATGAGAAGTGTATTTTTACATAAACCGGCTAAACCGCGTTATATAATGATTTGGGATGTTTCTGTTGTTTTGTGTTATTTACAAAAAGTTAATGCCATTATCTAGGTTATCTTTGAAATTATTAACTTTTAAAACCTTAGCCTTGATTGCTCTTGCAACTGCACCAAGAGCTCAGACTTTGTGTTCTTTAACTTTAGACAATATGTTTATTCAACAACAGGCAGTTGTTTTCACATTCACGGATATTTTGAAGACATCCAAGACAGGTCAATATTACTCTATAAGGATAGAGCATTATCTGGAAGAAAATATATGTCCAATGCATACTCTACTTTATTATGTTAAAAAGACTGCTGATATTAGAAAAAGTAAAAAGGTGTTTGTTTCATATGTTACCTTTAATGCTGTTTCTTCGAGCACTTTGGCAAGATGGTTAAAAAATGTGTTAAGTTTAGCAGGGATTGATATATCTAAATATAAGGCGCATTCTTATAGAGGAGCATCAGCTTCGGCTGCCTATAATAAAGGATGTTCAATAAGGGAGATTTTAAAAACTGCTGATTGGAAATCATCTAAAAATTTTCATAAGTTTTATTGTAGAAACTTAGAATCTGGTATTTCTTATAATGATGCTGTTTTTGGAACATAGAATATTTTTTGGGGTATTAAACTTGGAAAATATTTGTTTTTTGTTGCCTTTAAAGATGCTATTTTGTACATGTGAAGCCGAAGGCTTGATGAAAAATAATGGACCCCCATCCAAGCTTTAGTGCAGGATGGAGGGCATTATTTGAATAAAGCCGGAGGCTGAGCATGTACAAACCCTCCCTTGTGTATAGTATCATAGTATGTGATTAATGTCTTATTATATAATATAGAGGTTTTAACCCTCCCTTAGTTGCTTTATTGCAACAAAAAACACTCTTTAAATGAGTGAAAACATGTGTTTCATGCTTCCGGTTATTACTTCCGGTAGTCACGCGCATGTCCGTGATATAGCGGGAAATTTAAACCTTTGAATACGCGACTTAAACCATAAATTCAAAATGAAATGCTATTTTGTACATGCTCAGCCTCCGGCTTTATTCAAATAATGCCCTCCATCCTGCACTAAAGCTTGGATGGGGGTCCATTTCACTCCCTTTCCACGCTTAAAATACCTTAAATGGACTTGTCCATTTTTCCAATCTGGTCCAGACCATTCATGATATTTAAGGACAATTATAGTGCAGACCATGGCTATATAGCACAGATGTGCCAGCTGATCTTGGTCTGCACTGCTGGTATGGGAAGAATCAGCTGCCCCCATTAAAATTGTCATTAATATGGAAAAATGGCACAATACCTTAAGAGTACTGGTAATCTGAATACAATATATATCATTTCCCCTTTATTGCCGATAACAATAGAATCTTTCTGATATGAATGGTATCATATTACAATTTTTCCCTGAGATATTAATATAGAGAACTAATAAAATGAAGGAAATAAAAGAAATATGACATGGTTCTAAAACTAAATCCTATGCAATCTGAGAACTTCACATTATTCTGTTATAATGAAAAAATTCTTTATTTAATAGAATAGTGTTTTAAGAGTAGAATATACTACATTTTGAGTATGGTTTTTCTTCCTCAAGTAAAAATAATAAATAAACAATTAAAAATCAACTTTAAGATAGCTTTTACTACAAAGGGTAGTAATAATCTAATTTAGTAAGACCCTTCCTAATTAAAGGGAGGTAATAACAGATATTAATTCCATTTCATTTTTTTGGATAGTAAAGCAGGTATCTTATGCATATAACAAGTGGATAAATCAAAATTCCATTACAACATTTTCATTAAAGGGAGATAATAATTCAGATTTATTTCATTTCTTTCCAAAAAAAAGGGAGATAATTATTCAATTCAATACAATTTTTTATACAGGGAGAAACAGATTTTTTTATGCAGCAAAACATTAAAAGAAAGTTTAAAATATACTTTTTTTTGTTTTTAAATGATTTATTTTATCAAATAATAAAAAAGACAAAGAAATGGTAAAAAAATAACACAAAAAATACATAATTCATGATGAAAAAACTAACAGATACTTTAATATGAAATTTTCTAAAAAGATAATAAAAACAAGGATAATATAAAATGAGTGATATAGAATATATTTCACTGACAAATAAAAGATTCATTAAAAAAAACTCTCTTGTATAATACAGATAAATCCTTTCATTGCTCCTTTAAGAATTGTTACATTTAAATATCATAACAACAAATAGGAACTAAAATTAATAATATTGATAGGTCAGATAAACTGTACCCAAAGTTTTATATGGTAATTAATAATAGACTGGTTCACCTGCTTGGTACTGTGTACCACATCAATTAAAACATTCTATCAATTTTCACCAAAATCAATTAGAAATAACAATAGAATTATTGATAAATGTATGGAAGCTATGGAGAGAAATATACCCTCAAGGAAGTACTTTTAAACTAAACTGACTTTTATGTCCTCCAAATCATGAATTATAAATCATGAATTTCAGTGAAAGTTCCAGCAGCAATACTTTAGAGTATCATTCTATGAGATTTCTGGTTCAGTGGAGCATCATCAAGGCAATGTACTGTCAACATATTCAATCTTCTGCTTAGAAAAATTAAATTCAACAAGAACAACAAAAAGCCTTTAATGGATTTTTATTGTTGAAATAAAACTTGTACTCAATCTTAAAAGTAATGCTGGACAAATAATTAGAATTTTGATTAAGTTAAATATAAAATTGAACATAACTATAGCATATAATGTAGTTATTTTGATTTTTACCTGTTTACTCAACATTTACATTCGGATGAACATAATGTCACTTTAATCTCAAATAACAGTAACCAGTATTAGTTAAACATATGTTAAAAAATGATGGTGTTCCCAGTGGGCTTCAAACATACGATCCCTGGGTTGAGAGATAGACTGTTACCTTAACCACTAGGCCACCATGCCAAATACATCATATTTAGTCTTGCAATGATTCTGTATGCCAAAAGACTTATATTTCATTTGTAGAAGTAAATCTAAAACTGGCAAAATCTAACATAATATTCTAGTGACTGACCTGTAAATATGACAAAACCTCTCCATCCATTATAGCCATTTCCTGAAATTGTTGCTATGTAAATACTTGAAATTCTATGTAAAGTTAAAATACTAAAATGATCAACAGATCAATCACATTTGTATTGTATTATAGAGATATTCCTTTTATAACAATCAATATCCATTTCTACTATTTGAAGAACTGAAAATGACACTAACTTTACCCTATAAAACAATTCTGTGACATAAATTCAAAACTACTTTTTTTCTGTTTCAAATTTAAAGTACTTAAATGCATGTTTCTCTTTTTTTAAATTTAAAGTACTTAATTATAAATTTCAAATTTAAAGTACTTAATAATGCAATTAACTATTTTTTTCAAATTTGAAGTACTTAAATGCATGCTTCCCTTTTTTGTATTTAATGTACTTAAACACAAGTTCCTCTTCTTTGAAGGTTGAGTCCTTAAAATTAATGCATGTACCTTTTTTTCAAATCTAATGTACTTAAATGCATGTGGCAAAGTATTCATTTTACAAAACTATGAATACTTTATCAAAGATGATAAGTATGACATTGTTATTTAGAAAAAAATTGCAAATGATAAAATAAAATACTACTTCAAATGAATCTAAGATACTTTAGAAGGGAATAAATTTTTTGCACTTTGAAAATTACATTCAGCAATGTTTCTTTCACAAGTGTCAGAAGCATTAAATGGGCTAACTTATGGACAAGAGAATGCAACAGCCTCCAAACAAAGTATGTGTTTGCTCCAGCCCTACTGGTGACTCAATTTTTTCCATCAGTACAGACAAATCATGGCCTAGAAAGTGGTTTCAGGTTCGAACACTGTTATGGTATTAAGGCAACTTTGGAGGCTTCAGCTTACTAAAGAAATGAACCAGAAAGAAAATGATTCTAGTGTAAGTTAATAAAAAATCATTTTGGAATTGACAACACAAGCATTGTCATGCATTATTCAATGCCACTGCAAAAAAAGTCATTTTTCAACCACGTTTTACATCCTTACGCCTCTACAAAAACAGCCTTCTTGTAAACTTGAAGCATTGAAAAAGGAATGTAAAAAAACGCAACATTTTCTCATTAAAACAGAAGTTGTATTTCTCCAAACCCGACTTCTAATGAACATGGGCACCTTAAGGCATCTTTCCAATAAGAAACGATTTTCAGTCTGTTTCCTAATCAATGGAAATCACTTTCAAAAGAACACAATTTTCTAGGTCAGTGTTTTCCGAGCTTATGTGTTTTGTAATCAAGATTAAGCAACGACCTTGCCGAGTACATCACAAATGTCATCTTAATGATAATTAATTTGTCAGAAGTTAAAGAAGTTCTATTCTAGCTGTCTTGTAAATGTCAAGCAGTCTCATTTATTTAATACGATATTAGCAACATTAAGTGGCAGAATTATATCAATATTATTACTATTCAATGGCAATAAGTACGTAGAAATTGTTGACATTTGGAAGTATCAAGTTAAAATTATTGTTAAAACATCCGAGCTTGCTAATTTTCTTAAATGGACTTGTCCAGCTTAAATTTTTGGAACTGTTCATAGTAAATTTTAGGAAGATCAAGATGAAAACTTAGTTATCAAACCAACAGTTTATATTGCACAGATGTGCATGCTTACTTGGCTCTATATTGGTGACAAAGGTAAACTATCTCCTATTCCACCAGGGTAAGGGTTTTAGAGAGCCATGAAATTTATTATATTCTGTTAGTAGTTTTATATAATTTGTGATCAAT